CAATTTATATTATAATCAACATGTAACATAATAATTTGTAACTCCTAACACGATAAACGTCCAATTTATATCATAATCAAGTCTAAAAAGTAACATAATAATTTAAAACATAATAATATAGCCCAATTTATAACATAATTATTTCGAATAATAACATAATAAATAAAAAAAAATAAAATAAAAAAAAAAAAAAATTGCCGGCCGGCCGGCCGAACCGGACGGACCGGTTCCGACCGGCCGTCGGTTCCGGACGGCTTTCTTGCCGTCCGGCCGGCCTGTCCGGACACGGCCGGTCCGACCGGCCATGCTTTCCGGACGGTCTTTGAACCGTCCGGACGCCGGTTCCGGACGGTCTTTAAGCCGTCCGGACGCCGGTTCCGGACGGGCTTTAAGCTGTCCGGAACCGGCGGCCGGACACGTATTTTTTCATAAATTGTCTGATATGTTTAGAAAAAATGAGAAGGGCAAAATTGTCCAAGGAGGGCGGTGAGTAGTAAAAGGGGGGGCGGTGAATAGTAACACCCATAATTTTTTGCCAAAACCACTATTTTTTGATCAATTAATCATCATTTAAACCTTCCCTTTTAAAGAAAAAAATCAACTAAGAAAAAATAGCCGGCTCACAAAGAAAACGGGCGGATTTGAAGGATCATTCTCGGCCCGGCTTCTCAGACACAAACTTAAAAGTGTTCATAATATTGCTTTGCAAACGCGCTTTTTAGTGCGGTATCTCCATACGCGATTTTTCTCTGTTTTACAGAACAAGTGGAAGTTCGCCAATGGCGGCAGTGTCGTTCAGATACTTGGTGCAGCTACACAAGGACGTCCCAAAAGCGGCGAGATTCTACTCAGAGGGCTTGGGGTTTACCATTAACGTTTGCACCCTCCGGTGGGCCGAGCTCAACTCCGGCCAGCTCAAGCTCGCTCTCTTGCATTCTCCCAGGTGGATTTTTTATTTATTTATTTTTTTCTTCTGAAATTTCAGCTTTGTTGCTCGATTACGGAAAATTGATTGATGGGTTATGCATTTACTGTTGAAAATTGGGGTGCTTGCTTGGATTATGCTGATGCATTTGTGAAAATTCCTAATTTGTGCATTTGATATTGAAATTAGTGGGCCAAGGGCTTACATATTCGAGAATGGTGATGCTAGGGATTCTTGTGATTTTCTGATTGTTTGATTG